AGTTTTGAACATCAGTTAATCAAAATATTATCCCCACTAAAGAATTCCATTCTTCTATCAGTAAACCAGTATTACCAAAAACTGTTCTCGATTATTATTATATTTTAAATTTCACCAATAAAATTTATTTTGGAAATTTGTTTTCTTTCCTCTACAAATGTCTACATAATATCCTCAATCTTGCCTCTTGGCCCACAAAGGCTATAATACTTACTATCTAACACTTTATAGAAGGTATTTGCTAAGCTTGATCTAAGTCACAGTCCTACCTGTGCTATGATAGCAAATCTACTTCGTGGTTTTGAGTTAATAGTGTAAAGTGTGTAGAATGGTGGCATGTGGTAGGTGTCTTTTCAATGCAAGTTATTAATATTAATAGCTATATTTCTTTTTTTTCTTTTTAGTTTATTTATTTTTGAGACAGAGAGGGACCAAGCATGAGTGGGGGAGGGGCAGAGAGAAAGGGAGACACAGAATCCGAAACAGGGTCCAGGCTCTGAGCTGTCAGCACAGAGCCTGATGCGGGGCTTGAACCCATGAACCGTGAGATCTGACCTTAGCCGAAGTCGGACGCTTAACCAACTGAGCCACCCAGGCACCCCTTACTAACTATATTTCTATAGCTCTTCTGAACTCTATAAAATTGTGGTCATTACAAAAGGTTATCTGTCGGTGAGTAAAAATGTCCTTTAGGACAGTCCTCTCTAAAAGTGCTCTGGCATGGTTTCTACCTAATCCATCCCAGCTCAGTTTTTTTTTTTTTAATTTTTACTTATTTATTTATTACTTTTTTTACTTTTATTTATTTTTGAGAGACAGAGTGAGACAGAGCGCGAGCAAGGGAGGGGCAGAGAGAGAAGGAAACACAGAATCTGTACCAGTCTCCAGGCTCTGGGCAAGCGTTCAGCACAGAGCCCAACACGGGGCTTGAACCCACAAACCATGAAATCATGACCTGACCTGAAGTCAGATGCTCAACCGACTGAGCCACTCAGGCACCCCAGTTTATTTGTTATTTTTGAAAGAGAGCATACACACAAATTGGGGGGGGATGGCGCAGAGAGAGAGGGAAACAGTATCTGAAGCAGGCTGCAGGCTTGAGCCTGTCAGCGCAGAGCCCAACACGGGGCTCTAACTCACCAAACATGAGATCATGACCTGAGCCCAATGCTTAAGTAACTGAGCCACTCCCCACCCCGGTCCCTGCTCACTTTCCCCTCCCCTCCCCCTCCTCCTCCTTCTTCTTCATCTTCATCTTTTTAGTAGCAGCTTTATTGAGATATAAATCACATACCATACAATTCACTCATTTCATTCAATGCATCATCACTACAACCAATTTTAGAATATTTCCATCAACCCAGCAGGAAACCTGCACTTTCTCTGCTGTCATCTCCCAGTCCTCCCTCCTCCCTCACAGTCCTAGGCCACAACTAATGCACTTTGAGTCTCCATAGATTTGCCTGTTCTGGACATTTAGCATAAGGGGAATCACCTGATATGTGGTCTTTTGTGACTGGCTTGCTTTACTTGGCAAAATATTTTCAAGCTTCATCCACATTGTAGCAAGTCTCAGTATTTCTTTTTTTATGGCAGAATAATATTGCATAGTATGCATGTATCAATTTTGTTCATAAGCTGATAGACACTGGATTCTTTCTATCTTTTGGCTATTATGAATAATGAATATTCATGTATATGTTTTTTATGTGGACATATTTTCATTTCTCTGGGGAATACACCTAGAAGTGGAATCACTGGGTCACGTGATAACTCTGCCTAATTTGGAGGAATCACCAAACTGCTCTCCAAAGTGGCTATGCCAAGTTTGCGTTTCCACCAGCAGTACCTGAGGGTTCTGATTTCACATCTTCACCAACACTTGCAATTAATGTTTTCTTTATTATTATAGCATTCCTGGTGACCTTAAAGTCCAGCTCATTTTTAACTCTCTGAGATGGGGTGTTGGAAAACTAACTTCCTCACCGCTCCAGGCTGGGTCCATGTGGGGACACAGCCCTGGGAGCCCAGCTCTGAGAGCACATCGGCGGGTTTCCACTAAAAGCTGAGTTTTTCTCAGAGGAGAAAAGGATCCCTGAGATTATGCCCCACTGGTAGCTTTCCAGTTCACAAAACTACACATTTACTTAACCCTTTAAGAAGGCATTATTGGGAAGTGTGGAAATATTTTTCAAAGGACTACAAATACTTACAGGCTGATTATTACTAGGGAGCTTGACTCAGCAAGACAAGATTGCTTCCAGAAAGAAGTTCTGAAGAGATCACTGCACACCACCTTCCCGCCCTGAACCCCCCCCCCCCCCCCCCCCCCCCCCCCCCCCCCCCCGCCTACTCCCTGTGATTTACAGAGACTTAAATCTCTCTCCCTTCTGGGGAGAGGAAGCAGGGCCACTGGGAAAGAAATCTCATACAGGAAGGAGGCATGTTCCTGGAGAGGCAGGCCCCACACGGGGCAGAGGGGCAGAGAGGACACTGGTTTCTGGTCCTGCCCTGAAAGGCAGCAGCTTGCCTGGGTGGAGCAGAAATGGGGGTATTTGCCCCTGTCAACCTTAAAAATAAAATAGCCAGTTATTCTACCAGCAAAATAAGTTTATGTGAGAACAATGGAAGAATTGAAAACTATGGCGGACAACAGACAAGTCCAGACATAAAGGGAAGGGAAGGTCAGCTTCTATTCGCTTTTAGGAGGAAACTAGGGAAGGTTTGTTTTGGATAAAAGTTCACTGGAGAAGAACAAGAGTTGTGGCGGTTTCTCCTGGCTGCAAAGCGGTGGCAGCTGGGGCCGGGAGGGACCTTCCTTCTTCTCCTTGGCAGGCAGTGAAATTCCTATGTAAAAAATGTCCTCTCCTGTCAAGATAAGAATGTTCTTTCTTCTTCCTGCTGGTTATACAGGCTGCAAAGAGCGGTACCTTCTCAAGAGATCCCCTTCAGGGCTTCGATTTTCAATGAGGTTTCTTTTATTTTCCCGCCCCTGAAGAAAGTGAGCCAGTCAAGGGCTATTGCACGCCTATTGTGTGCTGGCTTCTGCAGGGTGTTCTGCTTCCTGGGAGCACTTTGCTGAGTGTTCCAAGGTGAGCTTGTCCCCTTCTACGTGCTCCCAGCACATCCTGAACGTGTCCCTCACAGTGCTTTGTACAGAGTTATCTCAGAAATGCTCATTTCGGTTCATCGCTATAGCCTCAGAGCCTGGGACAGTGCCTGGCGCTTGTAGATGCTCCAAAGTACTTGGCGAATAAAGGAAATAATATAAATTCAATACTGGCTGGTGGACCCCAAGTCCAGTACCTCCCTATGTAGATTACTTGACAGTCACACTTAGTAAAACTATAGTTCTGTTGAAAATTTCCTTTGTTATGATGACTGCATAATATTCTTCTCAAGAAGTCACCAAATTTGTCTTGACCTAGCTCAGCTTTGGGACATTTATATAGTTTTACATTTTTTTACTTTGAAAAATAATAGTGATACATCCTTGTACAAGTATCTTTGAGCACATGTCTAGCTATGTCCTTAGGGCAAATTCCTAGAATGAGATCGTTGGTCAAGGGATATGTCTATTTTCTTTTCTTTCTTTTTCAATTGAAGTATAATTAACGTACAATGTTATATTACTTTCAGGTGTACAATACGGTGAGCGAAGGCTTCCATGCAACACCTGATACTCATCATAAGTGCCCTCCTTAATCCCCATCACCTATTTTTTAAATGTTTGTTTATTTATTTATTTATTTTTATGGGTTTTTTTCAAAATTTATTTCTGAGAGAAAGAGAGAGAGAGCATGAGCAGGGGAGAACAGAGAGAGAGGGAGATACAGAATCTGAAACAGGCTCCAGGCTCTGAGCTAGCTGTCAGCACAGAGCCCGATGCGGGGCTCGAACCCACGAACTGTGAGATCACGACGTGAGCTAAAGTCTGATGCTTAACCGACTGAGCCACCTAGGCGCCCCATTAACATTTATTTATTTTTGAAAGAGAGAGTGTGAGCGGGAGAGAGGCAGAGAGAGAAGGACAGAGGATCCAAAGCTGGCTCTGTGCTGACAGCAGAGAGCCTGCTGTGGCGCCCGAACTTATGAACCCAGAGATCATGACCTGAGCTAAAGTTAGATGCTTAACTGACTGAGCCACCCAGACGCCCCCCTTCCCGCCCCCAAAATCACCTATTTTACCCTTCCTCCCATCACCCTCCTGTCTGGTAATGATCAATTCGTTCTCTATAGTTAAGAGTCTGTTTTTGTATTTCTCTCTGTTTTGTTTCTCAAATTCCACATATGGGTGAAATCATATTGCATTTGTCTTTTCTCTGACTTATTTCAGTCCTCACGTGACCCAAGCATTATACCCTCTGGATCCATCCATGTTTTTGCAAATGGCAAGATCTCATCCTTTTTTATGGCTGAGTAATACTCCATCACATATCTATACCACATCTTCTTTATCCATCTATTTATGACCCTTGGGTTTATGTTGCTTCCGTATTTTGGCTATTGTAAAGACTGCTGCAATCAACAAAGGGGTGCGAATATCTTTTCAAATTGTTGTTTTAATTTTTTTTTAGGGAAATACTCAGCAGTGGAATTACTGACTCCTAGGGCAATTCTATTTTTAATTTTTGATTTCCTCCTTGATTTCTTGGTTGACCTATTCATTGTTCAGTAGCATTTTACTTACCCTTGCGAATTTGTGTTCTTTCCACATTTTTTCTTGTGATTGATCTCTAGCGTCCTACAGCGGTGGTCAGAAAGATGCATGATATGCTATCAATCTTTCTTAATTTATTGAGAGTTGTTTTGGGGCCTGGGGGTTTGGCTGCTGGGACCGCAGGCACACTGGAGTGTGTGGCTGGCTTCCCCTCTCTGGGGCAGGAGCACGTTGGAGGGCCTCCGGCCGCGGAGTGGGACAAGCTGGATGGGGTGGGTCTGCAGGAGAACGTGGGTGGGGCACGCAGTGCTAGGTGCCGGGGAGGGAGCCCGGTGGAGCATGTTCCTGCTGGCCCCGCAGGTGTCCTGCTATCTCGGCTGGGTGGTGGAGAGAGGAGAGGCGTGTGCGCCGGCCCTTCTGTTCTGGGGCGAGTCTCCTAAAGATCCCTGCTCCCTCCTGGCACACATTCTGAGGTTAGTAAATAAATCTTCTTTACCTATACCCCAGGTGCTTTTCAAACGGCTGCCTCTATGCTATTTCTCAGTGGGGTTATTTGCTATGCGGGCTCTTTAAGGGCACGGTCTCAGTTTCATCGGCCAGCTCCCGGCCCTCCAGCTCTCCCAGAGCTAAGCCCCATGCTTTTTAAAGTACCCAGAGATAAGCCCTGATTATTGTAAAGACTTGAAAAGTTAAGCCCCACTGGTTTTTGAAGCCAGATGTTATGAGAACCTGTCTTCCCAGTGCGGGTCCCCCATGCCTAGGGTGGCGTCTGATCCTCTCTCCGTTCTAGCTTCTCTGTGCTTGTGGTATCCTTCCTGCTTGCGGTTAGTCCTGCTGGGGGGTGTTGGTTCTCAGCCACGGCCCTGGCCCTCCTACCTATTTTGATGTGGCCTCCTCTCTACATTTTATTATTATTACTTTAATCTTTATTTATTTTTGAGAGAAAGAGAGACAGAGCGCAAGCAGGGGAGGGACACAGAATGAAGGAGACACAGAATCCAAAGCAGCCTCCAGGCTCTGAATTGTCAACACAGAGCCTGATGCAGGGCTCGAACTCACAAGCTGTGAGATCATGACTTAGCCGAAGTCGGAGGCATAACCGACTGAGCCACCCAGGCGCCCATCTCCTCTTTATACTTAACTGTGGAAAGTCTGTTCTGCCTGTTGTCAGGTTGTTTTCAGAGTTCCCTGCACTAATCTGCCTGTTGTCTCAGTGTGTCTATTGGAGTAGATGAGCTCAGGATCCTCCTAGTCCGCCATCTTCCCAGCAGTTGTGCATTTTTAAAGGTCTGTAAAACATGTTGCAGTTTCCCTTCCCCCAAGGGCCATGTATAGGCATGTTGGTCACACACCATTGCCACAGAAGATCTTTTCATTCTTTAAATCTTTGCCAGTACAATAGGCCCACAGACACAGTCTTTAATTGGTTCCTGGTGCTGAGCAGCCTGTCAGGTACTTGCTTGTGAGCATGTGCTGACGTTTTATTTCAAATTTGTCATGAAGAAAACAGTTCCTTAGAAAGCCAAATCAAAAATTCCTTCTTAGAAGAGACATTTCATAGGTAACTTGAACAACAACCCAAAAGGATGTCTGGTTAAAGATTATGAAGTTGAGTTCAACCCTTGAATGTCGAATTAAATGTCATTGCTACCCTCCTCCCACCTCAGACTGACAGCCAGCTGGGGGGCTGGGGTGTAGGAGCCAAATTCCCAAGAATAGGCACTTATCTGATTAAATTCCATTCGAAAATAGCTCAGAGTTCAGCTTCAGCTGAGGCTTCGTTTAGTTTTCTCTTTTCCTAGTGTAATGTGACATTTTTCATGGTGTTGATATTTGGTTATTTCTTTTACTTGTATTTTAGTTAAATCGTTTGCTTCCTTACCCCATACCCTGAAGCGCCTTTTCTTCAACTCACTCAAGGGTGTGTCCCAGCAAGGTGTCTTCTGAATGTCAGGCGGTTTCGTCCCCACCCTCAGGATTCTTGACAAACCACATACTGTCTTTACTCTTTCTTCTAGAATATTGTTCTGGGAATTGACTTATTTAAGACCTAAATGAAGTTATTTTTAAAATATACTTTCCATCATCACCTTAAAATAAAAAACCAGGTTTCCTTTATCATAAAAAGAAAGTCATCACAAAATAAACACAATAAAAATAAAGTGTTTGTGGGTTCTAGGTGGATATCTCTGCCAAAGGCTCTGTGCCTGGGGCTGTTCCTTCCTTGTAAAGGGAAATATGCAAATAGCAGAACACAGATATATTGGCAGTCGACAGGATTTTCTCTCTCCCCGTGTAATCAGAGTTGCTGAAATACCTTTGAAAAGGCAATTACCTTCCCCCTCCAAGTGAATCAGTGTTTTCTAACGGTGACCACAGACCACGTAAAATCATCTTGTGTCCCACCGGCACGGTGACTGTCACACCTGAGCGCACACCGAAATTACCTGGAGTCGTTAAAACACGGACGGCTGACACAGTAAGTCTGGGCTGGGGCTTGAAATGTGCATTTCTACAGAGTCCCCGAGTTGTGGGCATGCTGCTGGTGCGGGGAACATTTTGAGGGCCACCGCCCTCTTTGCTCATTGGGTCATCTCCTGTTTTAGGAGTAACCGGACTGAGGATGTTGGCAGGTGCGAACCAGAAACCACTGCAGTCCCTAAACGGGTGCTGATGTACTACTCCCTCTGTGGTCAGCAGTTTTCTTCTCCTAGAGGAACAAGCCCAGGCCCAGGGCCAGCACCCTAAGAGCAGCGTTATACTAGAACCACACACCCCTTCAGGAGGAAACCTGAATTACAGTTAGTGGTGGCGGGTAGGGACCTTCTGCCCCTGTATGAAATCTCCCATCGTCCCATTCAGTGAGTGGAGTGTGTTAAGGGTGAAGCTGCTTCCTGGGGAAAGCCCCTCCATTTAACTTCCCCAAGAGCTTCATTCCAGAAGCTAGATAATGGAACCGTGATATCAGAGAAGGTGACTGTAGACCGATCCCACAGGGAGTGTGCGAATTTTAGTCTAAGTGCAACAACAGGAAGTCATGGGCAGGTTTAAGCAGGAGAAGGCGAGGAAGGTTCTCAGTGGTCTCATCTAAAGGAGCCGCCCTCCCCACCTGACCGTGGGCCCCCGTTCATTTCCTGCATGACTTTCCTCACAATGGGAACCTACTTGGTCTCCTTGCTGGTTTGGTTGTCTGCTGCCCCTCTTCCATGAGGGCCTCCCTGCTTTGTTCACTCCTCTGTTGCCAGCATCTAGAGCAGCTGACACGAAGCAGGTGCTTCCTAAATATTTATGACATAAAGGAAAAGGATGCACAAATGCCATTCAATTTGTTCTAGGTTTAGGGAGCAAGGGATGCAAAGTAAATGAGACATAGTCCTGGGTCTTCAGGTTCACAGTATATTTGGGTAACTTCTTTTCCAAAAGTTGGTGGCCGTAATCAAATTATCATCAAAACAAAAAATAAAATTCAAAAAGAAACATGAGGGAGGGGTGCCTGGGTGGCTCAGTTGGTTAAGCATCCAACTTTGGCTCAGGTCATGATCTCACCACTCGTGGGTTCAAGCCCTGCATTGGGCTCTGTACAGACAGCTCAGAGAGGGGAGCCTGCTTCGTATTCGGTCTCTCTCTCTCTGTGCCCCTCCCCCCCCCTCTCTCTCTCTCTCTCTCTCAAAAATGAATAAATGTTAAAAAAAACTTAAAAAAAAAGAAATGCGAGGGAAACACTCTTCACTCATTTTAAAGATACACTACTAGCAAAACAAAATAACATTTTACATCTGTAAAAATGTTTGCATGGATAATATCCAATTCTGGTGAGAGTACAGGTACTTCAATAAGCTTACAAAGGCTATATTCCCTCCACAAGAAATGCAGCAACAGATATTAAGAGCCATGGACGATGGCTTTTTGGCTGGGACATGACATAAAATACTACCCACTGCCTGAGAAGTTCACTTCTGAGACTTTATCCTAAGGATATACTTCCAAATGAATGGAAAATTATATGTGCAAACTATTAATACACACACAACATGGATGAATCTCCAAAATAATTATGCTGAGTGAAAGAAGCCAGACCAAAAAATAAAAGCCCCCAGACCGAGTACATCTGTATGATTCCATTTCTATAAAACCGTAGGAAATGCAAATTGATCTACAGCGACAGAAGGCAGATGAGTGGTTACCTCAGACTGGGGGTTTGGGGAAGGATGGGCACAAAACTTTTGGGTATTGTGAGAACGTTTGGTGTCTTAATCATGATCATCGTTTCATGGGTGTAAGCCCATATCAAAACGTTAAATATGTGCAGTTCATGTTACATAAATTATACCTCAGTAAAGTTGTAAAAGAAAGGACGAAGAAAGGACTGATAGACACAGTAGAATGGATGAATTGTGAAATCATTGTACTGAGGGGGAGAACCAGACAGAGGATAAATAGTACATACTGTATGACTTCATTTATATACAAGTCTAGAAAAAGCAAACTAATCTCTGGTGACAAGAAGCAGGTCAGTGGTTGCCTGGGGTTGGGAGTGGAGAGAGGAACGCCCTGCAAAGGGACAAGAGGAAACTTTGGGGCACGACAGAAATGTTCCATGTCGCGATTATAACGGTGGTTTCATATGTATATACATCTATCAAAGCACACCGAAATTTGCCCTTTCAGTGGATTCGTTTATTGATGAAAATTAGACCTAACTCAATAAAGTGAATTTAAAAAGAAAAAAAGAAAAGATGAAAAAGAGGCTTCATTTAAGTTTTGGTGCCAGGGATCCTTCAAGCCGAGAATAACAGCACAGGCGTTTTTGCTTGGGAAAAATATTTAAATGAGCCTCTCAGCTATATAAGAGCAAACCCAAAATTCTATTCCTGAATGGAGACTTTGGGGACAACAAGGAATTAACCTTCTGTGTAATAACAAAAAACTGTGTCTTCACTAAGGTCAGCGGTAAAACTGGCTAGTACTCACAAGGAGTGACTGTTTTCACCCCTCTGGCTGGGGCTAGAATCGGGGGGAATTGGGGTTCTGAGCTGTAGGGAGGGAGGCCTACTCTGAGTGACAGGCTGGGTTCCTGAAATGTGGTGAGAAGTCAGGGGCTCAGGGGCTCGGGGACAAGAGGTGAATAGAGGAGGTGGGAGAAGACGGCCGCGACAGTGAACAAACAACCAGGAGTGAAGAGATGTGGTCATCCATTTTAAGTTCTTCCCTTTTCTGTACTGCATTTCCCCTCCCTGAGCTGCCACCCATAGGCCTTCGGTAAAGTTAGGCTAAATGCTACAGTTTGATAGTAACTGCGTTTGAAGGCATTTATGGGGCGCAGTGTCCAGGTAAAGTGCTATGTGCAGAGCACAGGATTACAGAGTTGCTAGAAGTGACCATCAGGGAGGCCCCCCAAAACGCTGAGCAGCAAACAGTTTGGGGAAAACATGGAAGAGCCCCTCAGGGCTTCTCAGAGCTGCCACCTGCACACTCAAATGGCAGGAAGTGGAACACAGACGCTTTCATGCGGTGTTCGAAGGAATGGTGACCTCTGAAATGTGGTGCCCAGGGACGTTTGGGATAGTTAACTCCTCCTCCCCCACCCCACACCATCCCAAGGATGTTTGGGCTGTTTTGAGCTATTTTGGACTATAATAATTTGGATAGAATATTTTGGACAGAAAAATAACCTCTAAGGCCAGGTTCACCTCTTTTATCTCAAAAGCTCAGAAGAGACCTATGGTATATGACCAAACCCCAACGAGTAATTGCCTCTGGCTGATTGACGTCAGTTAATGACCGGACTTTGTACCCAAAAGGGAGTTAAAACTGAAGACGGCTGGAGGGCAGTCATTTCCTCCTTGGATTGCCCGGCAAGAACATCTAAAATGAAAGCCTTGCTTCGTCTCGTTCTTCTCATCCTCCTTTTTGAAGCCTTAGGTAAGGAACATTTTACACTTTTTAATTCCTCTAATCATGTCTGCCGTCTCTGAGGTAGAACCGGCAAGCTTCAGCTACCAGTTCCACGGCCCAACAAGGGAGACTGTCTCATGGTTGAAGTTTCCTCTCCAATTCTGCTCAAAGACGTCGGGCATTTGAGCGTGATGAAAGAGGACAGAGCGGAAGTAAAGGGGGCTCTGGACTAAGGTGTGGGGTTCAGCAAGCCAGAGCTTTGTGCTCCAGATTTCCTCAGGCCAGACAAGAACAACTTAGTAGGCTCCAAGGGCCTGATGCCCTACACGGGCCTTTTCTTTGGCCCCCAAATGTCTTTTGGACCCTAATGCAGTGCAGGGGTCTGGTTTAATCCCTGATTCCAGCCTCAGGAGTCTTCTCGCTCCTTCCACATGGAATTAAGGTTTACCTCTGAGCAGATCCCTGACTTCATCTGGGTATGGGTGGGTTCTTCTATCAAATATGGATGCTCAGATCAATCTCACAGTTACTCTCTGGCTCAGGGTCAGCCCTTGTTGAATGAGGAGAGTAGCAGGAACAGGAGGAGAAGGTAGGACGGCCAGCTGGTGGGCGCCCTGGCTGGCTCAGTCAGGAGAGCTCAGGACTCTGTCTCAGGATTGTGAGTTTGAGCCCTGTGTTGGGTGTAGGGACTACCTAAAAATAAACTCTTTTTTTTTTTTTAAATGTTTTTTTTTTTTATTTATTTCTAGGAGAGAGAATCAGCGTGAGCAGGGGAGGGTCAGAGAGAGAGGGAGTCACAGACTGAAACAGGCTCCAGGCTCTGAGCTGGCAGTCAGCACAGAGCCCGACGCGGGGCTCGAACCCACGAACCGCGAGATCATGACCTAAGCGAAAGTCGGAAAGTCGGATGCTTAACCGACTAAGCCACCCAGGCGCCCCTAAAAATAAACTCTTAAAAAAAAAAAAAAAAGATGACCAGTTGACAAACTATTTTCTTGCTCCTGACAGAGCAATGGTTTATCTCTTCAACACTTAATGACTATTTAAGCCAGGCTGTGTTGAAGGTGAAGAGCCAAATTCTGCCACGCAGGGGCTCACAGGCCTGTCAGGGAGTCAGTAGTCTTTCTATACTAGAAGGGTTAGGAATTGCTTCCTCACTTAAACTTTTGTTTCCCTTTTTTTCCCCCCTCACTAAACCATTTAATATATTTTTAAAAACGGGTTGTCAATGTCAGAGTCCTTTGAGATAATTAAGGGTTCTAAAAGAGTAATCACTGGATCACGAAGAATTTACTATGATTCCATGTGTCTAGGGGTTTCTAAGAGTTGGAAAAAAGGTAACTCTGATGATCATTGTAGCCCTGAGGGCAAAGATCATCTTTACTCATCTTACTCTTTAAAAAATTAATGTGTCTAAAATTATTAGTGGGTAAACATCCCTAGAAAACAATCTTTTTGGAGAAAGTTTAATACACACCTTATGAGGTATTTTTATTTCATCGTTCTTTAAATAAAGCCCTCCCTGCCTCCCTAAAATGCTGTGTAAGTGGAACAAGGGGACTACTGCCTTAAACTATAAAAAGACAAAGCCAGCCACTTTCAGGTAGTAACAGCGCCACCTGCTGGCCTTATCAACTGTCCTCACTGAAGACTACTGGGGAGTATTAAACCCAAATTAATAGATCTGCAACCACAGGTATAAACGATTTTACTTCTTGGTCCTCATCTTCATACACATTAGCTTTCTGTAATATATTTCAATAACATTTTTCCAGTTTTGCCTGTTTAACTTTTAATTTTATCTATTGTGGGGGTTTTGTGTGTGTGTGTTCAAAGTAGTCATGTATTTTCTTTCTTTTTTTTTTTTTTCGAGAGAGAGTGTGTGAATGGGATAGAGGGGCAGAGAGAAATAGAGAGAGAGAATCTTAAGCAGGCCCCATGCTCAGCACAGAGCCCGGCCCAGGGCTCGATCTCACAACCCTGGGATTGTGACCTGAGCCGAAATCAAAAGTCGGACTCTCCACCAACAGAGTCCCCATGTATTTTCATTTTTAATGTGGTCAACTATATTTATTTTTCAGGAAAGAATGATTGGGTACTAATTAGAATGAAAGAATAAGTAACTGCCATTATGTATTGAATGTTCTTTCTTCTGAAACTTGGTATCTTTCTTCCTCCAGCCATTGGGCAAGACAGTGTTTCTTCAAGTACCTCTCTCGCAAATAACACAAATACTGAGGTCACAACAATTGCCATGACAACCCCACCGACTTCTTCTGTGACATCTGTTCCTATATCAAACACAACTCTTTCAAGTAACCCTCTCACAAATAACGCAACTACTGAGACCACAAAAGATACCACAGCAACTCCACCTACTTCCTCCCCAACCTCTGTTTCTATATCGAGTGCAGTTATAGCCACCCTTGTCCCATCTACAACAAGTGAATCAAGCACAGATACAGACACAACTGCACTTACCTCTGGCTCCGTGTCTTCTGGGAGTAATGAGTCAACCACAGCAGTTACTTCGCCAACAACTGGATCATCCCGCATCACAGTCCCACAAAGTAATTCCTCAGAGACTGTGCCTTCAGTGACTTCTGGCAGTGTCACTTCGCCTAAGATCAGCACCCCAAGCCCTGCTCCCCCAGGTAAGAGTGATTCCCATAAAGACCGCTCCCTTGTGGAGTCGTAAGTGTGTTCTGCTGGGGGAAGGAAGTGGGTATAGAGAGCCCCAAGGTCTCCTTGAATATGAACCCCTGGAATTTCAAACTCAGAGTCAAGGGGCGCCTGAGGTGCTCAGTCGGTTAAGTGTCCAACTTTGGCTCAGGTCATGTTCTCACAGTTCATGAGTTCGAGCCCCATGTTGGACTTTCTGCTATCAGCACGAAGCCTGCTTCTGATTCTCTGTCTCTCTCTCTCTCTCTCTCTCTGCCCCTTCCCTACTCTTTCTCTCAAAAAATGAATGAATATTTTTTAAAAAATTAAAAAAACAGCAACTCTGAGTCACAAAAGCTAGTAGTGACAGAGACCCTAAAAGATAACCCAGTTTCATTCTGTTCTCCTTCCCCTCCACCTGTCCTGCTTCAAGTTAGATATGGAATATTTTTATGAACTTAGGCGTCATGAAAGCTACTTTTCCAGCTTCCATCTCCCTAGGAGATTTTAAGAAACAGTTTCAGCTTCTCTGAGAAGGCCAGGTCCAAATAAGCACTGCCTCTCCAGCCCCACTGGTCTGTCTCCCTGATCTATGTAAGGAAGGAGTCAGTCCTACCCTGACTTAATGTTAGTGGAAAATGTGACATTACGATGATGGCTGATCACAGTTTGGAGTGTGAGGTAATTCATGGAATGTGAATCTGAGTAATAAAAAGTCAAACAACAGCAGCGCTCAAACGGTCCTAGACACGGGGCCATTGTCCAAAGGACAGATGCTTCAGGAATATTGTCCTGAAGAGTTGGCAGTTGACCTCGAGTTAAAATTATTGAAACAGAAACCCCTTGCCTCATTTCCCAAAGTTTGGTCTTTTTAGAATAAAAGTTTGCTTTTGCAAACTTTATCAGCAAAAGCAAACGAGTAAATATTTTCAGTTTCGCGGGCCACAAGAGGGTATCTGTTGCAGCTACTCCAGCCTGCCATTTTCACACGAAAGCAGTCATGGTCAATACACAAATGAATGAGCCGGTTGTATGCCAGGAAAACTTTATTTACAAAACCTGAAGACTGGCCACATTTGGCTCACGAGTTATAGTTCGCCAACCCCTGGTCTAAAGGAATCCTCAAACCTAGGCTTGAAGGGTCTAGGTAAACCCTGTCATTCTCAGGGAAACTGAGGCCCAGCGAGGGCAACACCTTGCCCAAGTTCAAAGAGCAAGCTGATGGTTCCCTTTGCTTACTTCTTTTGGTTTCCCCAATGTTCTTTGATAGATCGTTAACAACTGGAGGTTAAGCAAGTGGAGCCAGAGCCTGTATCTAAGACCTGGGTCCTGGTCTACTTTCATGTTTGGAGGGCCCATTCTGAAGGAAAGGGAGCTTTTCTAAGCCATTTCTGCTGCCCCAGACATTTTCTCAGAGTAAGGCGGTCACCTTGTGTTCTGATCCCTCCACTAGCTAACTGGGGCGGGGGGTAAGTACTTCTCTCCTGGCTTCTGGCTTACCCACCCGTAATAAGGTGTGACTGAACTAAATAGCCACCAAAATCCTTTCCAGCTATAATATCATGTGATTTTATTCCTGGCACACAGAACAGGCTGAGAAGTCTGACCTTTATTGCCAAAGAGAAAGCATTCCAGGAATTGTCTGCCTGGTGTATCCTCAGTGGGGCTGTGCTCAGTTCCTTCCCTAGGATTTCCCAAACCATCCTTGCAATGTACCTGGGGCTTTTTAAAAACACCTCTTATTTTACTTAGAATATTAGTCCATACCAGGGTGCCAGGGTGGCTCAGTCAGTTAAGCATCTGACTTTGGCTCAGGTCATGATTTCCCGGTTTGTGGGTTTGAGCCCTGTGTCGGGCTCTGTGCTGACAGTACAGAGCCTGCTTCGGATTCTCTGTCCCCCTCTTCCTCTGCCCCTTCACCACTTGTGCTCTTTCTCTCAAAAATAAATAAACATTTTTTTTTTTTTAAAGATTCCTCCATGTCTTTTCAGGGAGTTGTAACTCATTTCCTTTTAACTCTGAATAATATTCCACTACCTGAAGGTACCATTGTTTTATCCATCCACCTACCAAAGAAGATCTTGGTTGCTTCCAAATTTTGGCAACGATGAATAAAGCTGCCATAAATATTCCTGGGCAGGCTTTTGAGTGAGCATGTTTTCAGCTCCTTTCAGTAAATGCCAAGGAGTGTGTTTGCTGGATCATATGGTAAGAGTATGTTTAGTTTTGTAAGAAGTTGCCGAACTGTCTTCCAAAGCAGCTGTACCGTCTTGCTTTCCCACCAATATGACAGTTCCTGTTGCTCCACAGCCTCATCAGCACGATTTTATTATTATTTATTTATTTAAATGTTTATTTATTTATTTTGAGAGAGAGGTGAGAGAGCGGGAGCAGGAGATGGGCAGAGAGAGAGAGAGAGAGAGAGTCCTAAGCAGGTTTCGTGCTGTCAGTGCAGAGCCTGATGCGGTGGCTAGATCTCACAAACTGAGATCATGACCTGAGCCTAAATCGAGATCTATATATGTATATATAGATCTGTACACATTTGTATGTTTGTGCACGTTCCCCTCTTTTTATCACAAAAGAGAGCATGTTATACACATTGTACCTTATATATATATAGCTTTAAAAAAAATCAACCATTTCTACCTATAAGTTCTTAGGAATGCACCATATTGGCCACAGGGATTATAGATATTCCAACAGCCAAATTAACACCATTTGATCAGTCATGTGACCTTTTCTGAAATCAAAGCTCGGTATCATTTCATTCGACAGAGGTGAAGAGAATGGCCAGCCAAGACAACCATTTGGCCTCTGACCTAACTCTACTCCCCCATCCCCCCACGTCTCTGGAGAGAGGAAGAGGTCACACCTTGCCTGGTCTGGACGCACCAGTCAGTGGTGTCAAAACCATTGCAATAGAATCCTCCCCAACTGTTCAAGTCAACCACTCAGAGAGCCAGGGGAGAGAGTGTGCCATCATCACTTCATCTGAGAATTTTCACTGAGTTAATCTGCAGGGGCCCCCTCCTAACCCTTTTCCTTTCTTCATGCACCTGTGCGCCATGTTTGTTATCCCAAACAGAACACCTAGTTTCTTTGGGGGGCTTCTTGCCTGTCCCTCCCTATAAGACAGTTATTCATACTTTCCTAGAAAATCGGATTCTCTCTCTCAAATGGTGTTGGGGAGCCCTACTGAGTGTCAGAGGCGCAGACATCAAGGTTCGAGAGAATCCTTGCAATCCAAAGATTCCAACGATGGACTTAGAAGACTGCTAACTCTCTGAGTAGACTCTTGCCCACCAGCCCCTGCCCTTTACTGTTGACAAGCACCTGGTTCCAGAATTTCAGCAACTCCCTAGGAACATAAGGGACTATGTATTTGTTTCTAGCTCTTCAAAGAGTGTGCTGTGGCATAATGTAACCAAGGAATGGAAAGTGCTCAGAAGGGAGCCAAGAAGATTGTGAAGTATGTTTCTGAGTGTAATTTGTTGTCATTCTATGGATTTTTAATCTCTTTCTCCTCCATCTCAGGTTCCAGCAGTCCTTGCCAAGGAGCTCCCTGTGAAGGTGGTTCTTCATGTGTTAGCCTGAATAATACCTATTTTTGCCTGTGTTCATTAGGATATTACTATAACTCTTCCACATGCGAAAAAGGTGAGTTACAAGGGATGAACCTGGCAGAGCTGCATTTTGGACCTAAAGTGGAATAGAAAATGTAAGATAATGTCAAAAAGAGCCTCCAGAATAGTAGAGGTAGAGGATAATTTATAGGCAACAAAGGCCAGCTGAATAGAGAAAAAGCTCCTGCTTTCATCTCAATGGAAACTAGAGGGACAGGAGATGGACCAAGACAGATGTGTGAGCTTGTCCTGAAGGTCTGGGAGTGGATGTGTCCCTTCACCATACTAGTTAAAGGGAATGGTGCCATGGGGACAAAATGATGAGTGTGGCAGCCCCTGGAAAATTATGACGACTGCATAAATACAAAGTTGTGCTGTTACGCAGGAACACCAATGCAGGATAAGGGGCTACGCATAAGACACACATAGGAGTCTGCTCTCTGACCTCGGTTCAGTTCTCTGTCATAGAGTTTGCTTGCTCCAAACAGAAAACTCCAGTTTTAGAGACTTAAGAGTCTCTCAGCTCTATAAATGGACTTCAGGAGCAAATCAGTACACCCTGGGCATAATCCCTTTTCGGCTAGTTCAGCTGGGTGCTCTGTAGGTAGGTCCAAGGCTATTTCCTGAGTTAGAAATTGTTCTCTGTTTCATGAGTGAAAAATACCTCCCCTTGCCAGAGCAGACCAATTATAGAGGAAATGAATACACCATATTGGCCACAGGGATTAGAGACATTCCAAAAGCCAAGCAGATATTCATATTTCAGCACTAATAATCTCAGTTCTGGGGATCCACTATAAATAAATGCCCCAAATATAGAAAGGTTTGTGCATAAAGATGTTTGCTGCAAACTTTATTTTTCCTTTTATAAAATCAGTAGCATTAAAACAAACAAACAAAAAGGACTATTAATGAAGATAATATATGTTTCAGAGAGTATTATGCAGCCTTTAAAATAATAGTTATGGGGAAAAAAAACAATAGTTATGGGGGTGGCGCCTGGCTGGCTCAGTTGAAAGAGCATGCAAGTCTTGATCTCAGGGTCACAAGTTCAAGCCCCATATTGGGCGTGCAGCCTACTTTGATAAATAAATAAACAAGTAAATAAAATAGTTATGAAGACTAGGTAATCATCGAGAAAAGTGCTTATTGTGTAACAACAGGTCAAGAAGACTCACAATGTAAACTTGAAATTGTAACAATGCAAACGATGCGTGAAAAAAAAGAGCTAGGCAAACTGTACCAAAACAAAAATGGTTGTGTTAGGTTGGGCGAGATTTAGGGCAACATTTTTCATACTTCCACACTTCCCATAATAATCAACATATAATGTTTAGAATCTTAGAGAGTAATCTATGTTTTAAACACGATGGAAATTAGCCCTCTTTACATTAAATATTACAAAAAAACATTCTGCTTAAATTTCAGGAAAGCTATTCCCTGGAAAAATTACAGTAAAAGTATCAGAAACGTCTGGCTTGGAAGATGAAAATTCTATGGCTTATCAAGAATTATACCTTAAAATTACCGATTTTGTAAGTATCTTCTTACCTTTCTTTCTGTATAAGTGTCCTTCATTGGAACAATGGCTCAGAATGTAGGACTGGTATTCAGGAGGTGGTACACACTGGTGCAGCTGTACTGGTCCATGAAATTGGGAAATGCACCCTTCCTGGTTGGTAAATAGCAACTGTCCTGAGCCCGTGGCACCGGGTTCCCCAGACCCCGCTGCTGGGACGTTCGGGCCCCCCCATGCTCCCCATGCCCCTGCACCTAAATGACCAACAGCCAGCATGGCAGAGGGCCTTTCGAGGCCTGCTTCAGCCATGCCATGCTCTTTGATACAGAAGCTATTAGAATATTTTGAAACGGAAGGGCGTCTGGGTGGCTCAAACAGCAGACTTCACCTCGGGTCATGGTCTCGAGGTTCGAGAGTTCCAGCCCCACATCGGGCTACCTGCTATCAGTGCAAAGCCCGTTTCAGATCCTCTGTCTCCTCTCTCTGCCCCTGCCCCGCTTGCATCTTCTCCCTCTTTCTCTTTCTCTCTCTCCCAAAAATAGATAAACATTAAAAGAAAAGAATATTTTAAAACTTTTTTAAATGTTTATTTATTTTTGAGACAGAGAGAGACAGAGCTTGAGGTGGGGAGGGGTAGAGAGAGAGAGAAACAGAATCTGAAGCAGGCTCTGGGCTCTGAGCTGTCAGCACAGAGCCCAACATGGGGCTCGACCCCACGAATTGTGAGATCATGACCTGAGCCGAAGTTGGATACTTAACCGACTGAGTCACCCAGGCACCCCAGAAAAGAGCATTTTTAAATGGACACGTAAATATAATGATGTTTTAAAATAAATTATTTTTGTAGGATTGAAGAGAAAAAATTAAGATTTTTTTCCCCCTTTCTCCAATCAAATTTGCATACATTTCTATCCTACTCTGGCTTTTTTTTTTATATCTGGAAAAGGAACTCCATTCAAATTACTATCTGTTACTTTTTCTCTCCCACTATCAAAAATGTCAAAAGGAACAATAGCTTCCTTTTCATTTTGATGATGGTGAGTGAATGTGCCAGCATTAAGGGGGTGGAAATCTCCATTCTGGGTCTATGTTAGATCTGAAGGAGCTTTAGAGGACATCCAGCCAGTGTTTCTCTACGCTTAGTTTTAAAGGAAAAAAAAAGTAGCCTGTAAATATGTCTTAGGACCCTGGGTGGAGAAGCACTTTTAGAAGCTAAAGAGACACGGAAGACCGTATCTTTCAATTCTGAATTATGTCATCACAGAAGAGCTTTGCTAGTAGAACAGTAAAACGCAAAACATTACTATCCAGATGACTTACACATTGTACAGAGTCAGCTAGCACTCCTGGCCAAATCACCCATGCCTGGGACTCCTAGGTGACACCGTGACTTCAGCACCCCGGCCTTGGCCTTGCGCCTGCCACCCGCGCACGACGGGCCAGCTGGCCACCACCTACCCTCTTATCCTAGATCTACGTTCCAGTTCGCCCACTTGGATGAATTTCTGTACGTTGAGGACAGCAGCATCCACGTGTTCCTATTTCCAGGGAACCCTCTACTGTCTCAAGTGACTTTACTGAGCAGCGGTCACTGTGGCCACTACGTTCCCTAAACTCGCTTTGGGTACAAGGGTCCACAAGCGCCCTCCTGCTATCGGGCTACGCCCTGGTCTTCAGAGACCAGTTTTAAGACTTGATCTCAGTCAGGTCTTGATGGTTTCAGAGGGACCAAGAAGGAGATCGGCTTGTTTTCTGAGGAGGATATGCCAGAACTCATTAGCAGCTCTTACAGACAGGGCTAGAGAGACGACTGACTTTCTTCAAGGTCCTCTTAGCAGACTTTGTAGCCGGGGCAGACCCAGCTCAGGCCCTGAGATGGCTCCCAGGGCCCTTTTTCTACCCAGCCGGGTCCAGATGGACAGGCTGCAAAAGGATTTGGCGTTTCCCTGGCATTTTATGTGTAATGTTTCTAATTCCCAAAACAGCCTAATGGGGAAGGTGGTACAGTGGTGCTGTTCACTTGCTGATGAGGCCGTCAAGGATCAGGAAGGTTAAATAACTGACCGAAGGTCACCCAACTGATGAGTGAGGAGGTAGGGACTTGAACCCACACCTGCCTCACCACAGAGCTCCTTCTCCTCCTTCTCACCTGCTGGCTGTGTTGTGCGGCAGAGGCCGGCAGGCTTGTTTGGATGGCTCCTGCCTTCTTGTCCAGACTTACAACCCTTCAGTTTGAGACGTGTATATCCCGACATCCTCAAAGGGTGACCTGGAAGATTAAAAAAACAAAACAAAAAGGAGACGCTTTCTCCTATGCCAGATGCTAAGTTTGTAATCTCTTCTATAGGAACAAGAAAATTAAATGGGCAGTGGTCAGTAGGGGAATGAGAGGGCCCTTGGAGGACGACCAGCGAACTAGTTGCTAAGTGAACTCCCAGCCCCTGACGGTTTACAGAAATGCCACCTATTCCTAGTACTTAGAAGAACTATAAGGCATATGGATGTATTCTGGATATAAGGCTACCAAGACTCACTAGAGCATCAAATGTGTTTAGATTTGACTAGACTAAAAGAGAAATGATTTAACATCTTTTTAAATGACATTGGTGGCCATGATCTTTTAAAGCATTGGGTCACCATGAGCAGAAAAACAGTAAAAAATCATTGGATTATAAAAAGCTTGCACCACCCCAGTGGAACATTCATCTAAAATATGGAGACCGGGGCCGGAAGGAGGGAAGACATGTTCAAGGTCCTGTCTTTCACATTTAATTTATTCTGTCATCCGTCAGCCAGTGTTTGTTGAACATTTCCTGGGGATTGCCCCGTGCTGTGGGGTGGGGGGCAGGGGAGGTTATGAGAAAGAGAAAACTTACATTCTAATTGGGACCCCCCCCACACACACTTCACCCCGGTCAGAGGTCCCACAACACAATTCTGCCTAGTGACATGTGCCCGTGCTGGAGCCCCTTTCAGCTCACAAAGCCATGTATCTATTCCATCTCATTTTATACCAACAATAGCCCTACTGGTAGGACTTACTGCTATGCCAAGGGTTCCCATGAGAAAAGTGAGGTTCAAAGACGTTATACAAAAGCTGGTACATGGAGAACTTTGACCCCAGGTGTTCTTCCTAGTCCAGCCTGCTCTTTTCTGAGCCACACTGTTTCTGAACATTAGTATGTGAGCTCCTTCCCCCTCTCCGTGTCCTGGCACTGCCTCCTGAAATGCTTTAAGGCTTGCCTCCTTTAGGAAGCCTCCCTGGTTCTCTGCAACCGGGAGAGAGTTTCTTTGGATTTCTATGGTAGATTGTATTGCTCTGTGGCCCTTACCTGTCTCAACTTCAGGGTGTAGTCCCCTGTCCGATCCAGGACAGGGTCTGCTCTCTTTGCAAACCTCTGTGTCTGGCATCATGCCTTGGCAAGGTGGGAAATTAAATAAGTGTTCCTTGGGTGAATTGATGAGTGCATGAAACGTGCTTGTAGATAAGTCTAACAAATATGCAAAACTTCGCAGTGACTTTGAAAATACAAACTCAATAAGTTAGTCTCCTTAATTTTAAAAATATGATCACTGATTTGGCTGGGTGCTTTAGGTGTCTGTCTTTTTCCTGGAGAACTCTGACTTTACATCAGAATCTTAGTCTTTTGGAACAAAAATTATTCAAAAGGTGCTAGAACAGCACATGCAAGGAGCAAACCGCTGTGATGAACCATGTATATTTATACCAAGGACGTTAGAAATGTGTTTATGTGAACACCTAGATATGGCATCACATTTCCCTCCTCTTTGTGGTTATTACTAAATCTGTTCTTCTCCTCCACAGTTTAAGAGTGCATTTCACAATGCTGATTATGGACAGACTGTAATTAATGAAGTGAGGTAAGTGGATCCAAAGTGGGTACTTTGGAGACAGGTCATTTATGCTACGTTGTTTTGTCATTAAATATACAGTGGTTCCATTTTTTCCCCTTCATTGTAATAGCTTGCTTCCTGAATTGGAGGGCTGCTAGTAGGTTCTTTGGATGAATGAACTGTGGATAGCCTTTCTTTCCTAGCCCCCCTGCAACATTATTCCGTAGATTTCTGGTCATTTTTCACCTGAAAAAGGACTTGTATCAAATACCTCTTTCTCACTGCCCTGTCTGTTCCATTGTCACCTCCAAGTCCTCTCAGGAATTAACCACAGGAGGGAATTTTAAATTAGAATCTGAAGCCCATTTTGCTTTTTGGACCCCCTTCTGTGGTGACCATTTGATTTTGGATTTTCTCGATTGTTCTGAAGAACTAATGTGGCTGTAAACATTTCCTAAGTAGGTTGGCTCTGTTTTCAACCTTCTGATATTTATTCAAAAGTCAAAATGGAGTCTAGAAAAAAAAAAGAACAGGAAAAATATATCATGAGTCTTAAAAACACAGCCACAGGGGCACCTGTGTGGCTCTGTTGGTTAAGTGTCTGACTCCTGACCTCAGCTCAGGTCTTGATACAAGGGTTGTGAGTTTAGGCCCCATGTTGGGCCTTGGGCTGAGTGTGAAGCTGACCTAAAAAAATAAGTAAGCCCCCCCCCTCACACACACAGCCACACACACACACATACACACACAGTCACAGGGTGGAGAGGGAAGGAGTTTTTGAAAGTCCTTTCCCCACCCAGGAAAGGAACTCTTTCAGTGGTTGTATCATTTGATTCCTCTTGGACAGCGGAAGAATTAGAACTTGGCACAGTGGTTCTTGGGGCCCCAAACTGCAGTGCCCAGTAGTGAGAGTACATGCAATGTCTTGCTCATAGCAGGCACTCAGTATCGGGGGATCTGATATGGTGTTCTGTGTTCATGTTCCCTATAGCCACACCCTCTTTGTTTCGGTGTGTCACACGTGGCCAGGCTCAACCACACGCCTGAGCTAAATCTGCCTGCTGCCCCTCCCCCAGCCCTTTGGGGAATGGCCCAGACTCAGTGTGGTTGACTGCTGCTCTCTCTCTGCAAGGGAGGAATGCACACTCACACCCTTCTGTCTCCCTTGAAGTATAAGTGAGGTTTGCCAGCTCAGCAAAAGACCTACTCTTTTTATTTTTAATTTATTTTTTTTAAATGTTCACTTATTTTTGAGAGAGCGAGCGAGCATGGGAGAGGGGCAGAGAGAGGGAGATTGGATCCGACGTGGGTTCCATGCTGACTACAGAGAGCCCCATGTGGGGCTCAATCTCAGGAACCAGGAGATCATGACCTGAGCTGAAGTCAGATGTTTGACCGACTGAGCCACCAGGCACCCCAAGACCTACTCTTGATTTTCTACAGAGAGTGACAACTTACTGTTTCAGATGTCACTTGTTCTTCTTCTGGTTGGTTTCAGACTTCTAGCTCCTAAAAAGGACTGTCCACAATTTTTCTCAATATCTTCCAACAGGACATTGTTTTAGCCATAGATTTCCTCTGAGAGCGCATGGAAGAGAGAGAGAGCTCCAGGCCTGTTAATTGCTAGCTTGCTACAAGCCCGGGCCTTCATGTTCGGGCCCCAGTTGTGGATTTATGACAGTGGGTCAGGGCTGGAGCTGAGAGACTGGGGAATCTGGGAGGTTTGAAGATCAATCTGTCGATTCTTCGGTTCAGTTCATCAAGTGATGGATTCATTTCATTTTTAGCACTTCTCCTTCAGCAAGATCGGAAACACGTGCTAATGACAAGCCTGTCACTGTAGGAGTCGTAAACATTTTCACACAAACTACCAAAGAAACTGAGAAGACCGTGTTTGAATCCATTCAGAAAGCAATTAAAAGCCACAACAACGAGTTTACAGAATATGTTAGTAAGTATTTGGTAATTTTATTTGACGTTTACTGAAGACGTCCCTTTTTGTAAACATTTCCATTATATGTGAGAAGGGGGCAAGAAAAGCAGGAGAATTGAATCCACAGATGGGCCCAATGCCTGTTAATTAGTCATTCTTCTTCCCTCTCCTCCCTCGCTCGGCTCTATTTATCACACTGGCCACTTTGCTCCTCTCTTTGGAAGGCAGTCTTGAACAGATGGTCTCTGGACAGGAAAAGATAAAGAAAGGAGAAACAAGAAGGCTTTATACCAAGTTGTAGCTTGCAAAGAATCATAGAAAGCCTTCCTTACCCTGCGTCCCCTTACGGCTGACACGCAAGCCCCCAGCACACCTGGCACAACACACTTTTGCTGTGTCACAAACCACCCCCAACCTCAGCGGCCCGAAACAACGAACATTTATTTATTGTCAGGCCATAACCCCCCACCCCTGCCTGTCTCATCCTTTCTTTTGCTCCTGCTGAAACTCTTCCTCGAGTCTCTTAAATGTTTGCTTTTTAATGATTGTAACCTCCACGGCCTAGTTTGCACAACTGTTTTCTCTTTTTAGAAATACGCATATCCTGTTCATGCAGAGTTTTCCAGCAACTTTTCACTTTCTTCAAGATTTCACCCAGACTCTCACTGTTCTCTCAGGATCTGGAATGTAAATGCTGTGGGGTAAAGCACTTGACCCTCTGCCTGCAACAGTGGAGGCCCCACTGCACCATACCTTCTCCGTGGGCTGCTGTCTCTCGGCAGTGTGCGTTCAACTCTTCTCCCCGGAGTTTCTTTCCTGGCAGAAGAGACTGGAGGAAACTAGTTGTGTTTCTCTCGTGTCACCCACCAATATGACAGTAGCCAGGCCTGGCCTTTCTGTGGGCCCCATAGCGTGGAAAACACACAGAGCCCTCCATTTGTTCACCTGTTTTTCTATTTTACCTGTTTGCTCTCTGTTGTTGGTTTTTTGTTTGTTGTTTGGGTTTTGTCGGTGGCAAGGTTGATCTCATTTGGGGCTCTAGGCTTTATCACATTGTTAATATTCTGTCTTTGGTTATGGGACCTCCTTTCCTCATTTTGTTTATAAATCTCATCTGAGAATTTCCTGTGCAAACCATATGCCCACATCTTTTTATAAAAGTTTATTTATTTTGAGAGACAGAGTGGAGGAGGGGCAAAGAGAGAGGGAGAGAGAGAATCCCAGGCAGGCTGCGTGCTGTCAGTGCAGAGCTTGGTGTGGCGCTCGGACTCACAAACTGTGAGATCATGACCTGAGCTAAAACCAAGAGTTGGACACTTAGCCAACTGAGCCACCCTGGCACCCTACCATATGCCCGCTTCTTAAGTTGCCTGACCTTCTTTTCCACTTTGTTTTAAATAGCTCATTGGATCATTAGCAGCTACACAGCTAGACTTACATTTTATCTTTAATTAGTTTTTGAATAAGAGACTACTATTTTATCTTTTCTGTTCTTATGTGTCATTATCATCTCTTTGATTAAAAATATTACATTTCTAGAGCTTTCTATGTTCTTGAACTATTTTCATCTGCCAGTCTCATGCCACATTACTACACCTTTTCCTTTTTCTTTTTTTCAAATTAAAAAAATTTTTTTATTTTTTAAATATTTATTTTTAAAATTTTTAAATTTAATTATTTTTTTTAATTTTTAAAATTTTTAATTTTTAAATTTAATTATTAATTTTTTTATATATTGATGCAGGGCTCGAACTCATGAATTGATCATGCCCTGAGCTGAAGTTGGACACTTAACTGAGCCACCCAGGCACCCCAACTCCTTTTCCTTTCTGAACATTTCAACTTACTCTCTCAAAGTCACACTCTTTTCTTGGCTTTCTCTTGGTTCTCGTCTTCCAAGAGACCCATCAATTCTACCGGCCCCCCATTTCTCCATGAGGTCAGAATTTGGTCCAGAGTAGCAGTTCACGGAGTCAGAACCTCTACCCACTGGAAGTTGTAATTACCAGCAAGGCAAGAAAAGATCTTATTATATACATTGATTTTGGCTAGATCACTTCTAGCAAATGTGAACAAGTTGAGGGTCCCAGTCAGCATGGGGAACGATCACTCAGAGTGGTCACTAGATGAAAATAACCAGTGCATTCTTTAAGATAAAATTGGGGTCCCCTGTGCAGTTCTCCCATATTGGCTCTCCTTCATAATGGCCTTGGCTCTGAGCTCTGACACACGTGAAACCATTTGGCCTCAACTCCAAGAACTGCTCTTTTTTGACACTTTCTCTCAACATTGCTCCAGACTGAGACTAGGCATGTGCTCTTAGATACACTAACAAATTATCAAATGATGCCAGCTAGAGATAGCCACAGAGCATAAAACGCCCAGAAGATGCAAGTGAGATCCTCAGAACTGTCAGAGGAAAACACCTTTTCCTGCTGTCCAGCTTCTTAAAAGAAATTCCCTCTTCTGTATTAAAAACTATAGAATCTTTTCCCCTAGAAGTTTAGTTGGTGATATTTTCATTTTTTTAAAAAAAGTTTATTTTTTAGAGAGAAAGAGAGAGGGAGCACAAGTGGTGGAGGGGCAGAGAGAGAGAGAGAGAGAGAGAATCCCACAGGAGAATCCCATGTTGACAGTACAGGAGCCGGTGAGATCGTGACCTGAGCCGAAATCAAAAGCCAGACACTTAATCGACTGAGACATGCAGGTGTTCCTAGTCAGAGGTATTTTCAAATGGCAGGTGTTGAAGGAACTTTGGTTACAGGTGTGGGATGTTTAGAAGAGAGTAACTACTTATCTGTTTCACCTGCTCCTGTGCTTGTCCCCCCCCCCACTCTATTCTCAGATTCATCTTTTTATCCCTAATGTCTTCCAACATGCTTCCTAACTAACATTCTTAAAAGAATGCATTCTCATGCCATGCTTCTGCTCAGAATCTACCAATGGATTCCCAGGCTTGTAGAATAAAAGTCAAGCCTGGCATTCAAACTTTGCTCTATCTGTGAATGAACAAAAGCACGATCACTTGTTGAGGTTCCTGTAGTGGGCACTTGCATTGACATTAGCTCATTCAATTCTCACAACAAAGATGTGAAACAAGAATTATTAGCCCCATTTTATAGATAGAGGACACTTGGATCCATCAAAAATCAAATGATTGAACCTACAGCTCATAGACAGTAAATGGCAGGGCCAAGAATTCTCATCCCTCTTCTACCTCACCACAGCACCTCTCCCCTGCCCACGGATAACTTCACTACTCCCTGACAAGGGTCCTTTGCTTCTTTTCATGGTAGTTTACTCCACTTGACAGACTGCCTCTTCTGTGACTGCTCAAATCTTCCCTATCCTTCAAAACTTAGCCCACCTCCTGTCTCCTTCACGAGGTTGTCTTTAGCTAGTTGAGCCTCTGAATTCCCATTAAAGTCTGGACTGTGAGTTGATTAAGGTGACTTTGTGTGGGGCTCAGCCATGTAATTCCACAAGGATGGGGCCCAAAAGTTATATAGCTCCCATGTCCCCTGTGGAACCCAGCATAGAACTAAGTGAAAAAGAGATCTTGCCCTTGAACATAATTGCACTACCTTGTATTGAACTAATTTGAACTGAACAATATAAGGACATGATCATAGAAGGGAAAATTAGGGAGTTGGATTTCAATATCCTAGATTTTCTTTTGTTAAATCCCCCAAATGTATAGAAAGGTGTGTATAACAATGGAGTAAAATGCTTTCACAAGTTACTTGATCTGTGTTGTCTTGCTGACTATATTTTTGAATTGTTGGTACCTCTCAGATCAAAACCTGTGTGATTTTTATGGTTGTGAAAAGGAAAATGAGCAAGACAACTGTGACAGTGGTTTGCTGTGTAAATGCAAGCCGGGGATGGAAAGACCCTACTCCCAGATCCCTGCGTGTGTTGGTGAGTGTTCTACCTACTTGTGCAATTTCTTCACAACCCCCACCCTGTCTCCTTTCACATTTGCAAAATACAAGCTTTACTGCTCAAGTGTCCATGTGTCTAAGGGGTGTGGATTTGGGCTTTAGCACATGGACTTGGACCGAAGCCTTGGCTCCAAGCTGATGAGGAAGCCTGTGTGTGGCTTCACAGGGAGCCTGTCATGTGCACAGCCAGGGAGCACCTCACCTGACCCAGAGAAAGCAATGTGAACAATTATGTTCTGTGACATATCACTTGGGTGTTGAAGGGGTTGTTTCTGAAAGTCACTCAAATTCTCTTTTAAAGCCTCTGCTCCAAAGTGTCCTGATGCCTGCGATGCAGACCATCATAAGCAATGCTTGGTGAACAAGAACGGTGTGAACACTGAATGCGTGTGCCTCTCAGGCTACCAGAAAGATGATCAAGGGAACTGTCAAGTGTAAGAGCAACCACTCTTTTTTTTTTATCTTGCCACAGCTGGAGTTAGCCAAAAAGGACAGAGCTTGTAGACATATGTGTGGGTTTCGGGTCAGGATGTTGGAATGCTTCCATAAGTTGGTAAGATAAGAGCACGATCCTATCACCGTTATTGTCATCAATGGGTTTTGAACATTTATCTGTGCACTAGGAACCATGCTAGGTAATACGCCTCCCAAACAGCGCTGTCAGGAATGGATTTGTTCCCCATTTGCAAGTGAGGGAAGTGAAGCTCAGAGAAGGTAAATAACAAGCCCTGGCTCACAGGGCAGCAGATAAGTGTCAGGGCCATGTGGCCTTGCAGCTGAGGGGGACCCACAATGCTCCATGCCTCTGGGGTTCAGCTTAGCCTGAATTGCCGAATCTTCCTGGAGCCCAGAGGATGGAGTGTTCAGTCAGTAGGAAATGGGGCCACTGGGACTTGTGTACTCTCTTCAACTTTCCAGAGCTCCATGGAAGGTGCTTACCTGAGAGAATGGAAGCGTAAGGCAGAAAAGAGGAAGAGAAGGAGAAGGGGGGAAGATTGAAAGGAAGATGGGAAGGAAGACTGGAGGCTGGCGGGAACCTGACATGCTCCCCGTGGAGCCTCTGTAATGGTTTCCATTATTGTATTTCAGGTGTGCCTTTGGCTACAGTGGAATCAACTGTGAAGACCGTGAGTATAAAAGTTTTGCTTTGTTAGTAATCATCTGAGAAATAGGGGGCATACTCCGAGGTCTCTGGCTACCTTTATAAAGAGTGAGAAACTGTGGCTGCAGTTGGTTTTCTGGGTCAGGCCATCCCATTCCTGCCCTGAGGTCATGAGCAGCAGCACCTCTGCTGTAGGAAATAATAGAGCCCAGCCCAAGAGGTGGGCTGGCCCCTCTGCACTTGGCCCGACCCCTAGAGGCCTTCCTAACATCCTATTCATTCTGTACACTGGCTGAAGTATGCATTTTCTGTTACTAGCAAGGATAAAAGACCAGTATGTTCCAAAAATGTCTGTGGTCGTGGGAGAGCAGAACTAAAAACCAGACGCTGAGATACTCAAGTCTTTTCGTTCCAGAGCCATTTACTAGCTTATGATGTGTTGTTGCAAGTTCAGACGCTTTATTCTCTCCCACATCCCACTACCACCAGTCTGGGCCAATACTAACTTTATATTTTAATTATATTTTAAATCTTACCTAATGAACTAAAGACTACTGATCCAAGATGAAGGAAACATGACTGTTGGCCTCTCAACAAGCTACCATATTTGCTACTGTTTGTTTGCAAGGCTGGATTTGCTAAGTCATTTCTTCCTTCTGGGCTTTCAGCATCCACACTACAAAATGAGAGTCTGGGATCAAATGACTTCTGAGGTCTTTTCCAGACACAGTCTATGCTCCCAAAGCAGAAAGAGACAAAGGGCTCTAGAATAACACTGTCCAATAGAAATGTAACGTGAGCTCCATATTCAATTTGAAATTTTAAAAATTCCAAGTAAATTTTATAAAGTTTTAATATCTTATTTATACTTGAGAGACAGACAAAGAGGCAGAGAGTGAGTGGGGGAATAACAGAGAGAGAGGGAGACATAGAATCTGAACCAGGCTCCCGGCTCTGAGCTGTCAGCACAGAGCCCAACATGCAGCTCGAGCCTACGAACCATGAGATCGTGACCTGAGCTGAAGTCAGATGCTTATCTGACTGAGCCACCTAGGGACCCCTAAGTCAAATTTTCAAAGATAAATGAAATTATTTTAATAACATTTTATTTCACTCCATATACCAAAAATATCATTTTTCAATATATGATCAATGTAAGAGTTATTAGTGAGAAATTTTACCTTTTTTCATACTGTGTGTTTGAAATCTGCAGTGGGTGTTATACTCACAGGCCATCTCATAGCCACATTTGTAGCTCTCAACAGTGCTAGCCAGAGCAGCTCTAGAAGAAGAGAATGGGCCCTAATGAACTCTTCCCTCACTGATTGTATCAAGCCTCTATTAATGAGAAATTTAACTTTGGCCTAGCTCTCCCTGCTTATCAGCAAGGCCACATATGGCGGGCAGGCACAGGCAGCAGAGGTGAGGCGGGGATGTGGACCTCAGTTGAGATCTCATCTCCCACGGCATCCAGGAAGGCCCCGCCACTGACCATGGCCTCCTTGGTGGTTTTGGTCTTCTTTTGTCTGGGAAGGCAGCCTCTTCTGATCGGGTTTTGAAGATACAGTTGTGGGGATGGCGCAAAAGGAGATGAGTCGCCCACCTAACCTGTCACCCAGGCTGGCCCTGGTGGGGTCGGGGACTGGACCCACGGTCAAGGACCACTGGGAACATGTGTGCCTGTGCAGTAGACAGTGGGGGCTGCTTGTGGGAGGCTGTGCCTACTCTGTGCTTTTCCTTTTCAGAATTTCAGCTGATCCTCACTATTGTGGGCACCATCGCGGGCGTCCTCATTCTCAGCCTGGTGATCGCACTGATCTTCTCAGTGAGGTACGCAGTGGACGTGTCCCTCTCCCCAGGGCACAGCACCACCAGCATCATGCTTGGGGTTTTAAATATACCCAGCCTTCCTGCGGCAAGAGGAGAGAAATAAGGCAAGGCCTCTCTAATCCTGTGGGCCGGTTAGCTTTTCTTCTTCCCTCAATTTTCTTTGGCTTATATAAGCCGTACATCATCACCGAAGAAAACAGAAAAATGTGTAAAGGAGCGCAATTAAAAAATCACTCACAAAATTGACCACCCTGAGGCAACTGATATTTTGGCTTTTAGCTTTCCAGATTTTTTTCTTTTTCAATGACATTATAGAAATAATTTCGTATTATATTATAATATAATATCACATAATATATTATATAATATAATATACCTATACATAATATTGTATGTTATGTATACATAAATTTTAATTTTTAATTACTTTTTAAAATTTTTATTTATTTATTTCTGAGAGAGAAAGGGAGAGAGAGAGAGTGGACGGGGGGGGGAGAGATAGAATCCCAAGCAGGCTTCTCACTGTCAGCACAGAGCTCAATGTGGGGCTCAAACTCACAAGCTGTGGGACCGGGACTTGAGCAGAAATCAAGAGTGGGACAGTCAGTCGACTGAGCCACCCAGGAGCCCCTGTATCCTTTGTGTTTTAAAAAAATATATAGTTAAGGTTTATTTTTGCTTAGCACATGATGACATAGCAACTATTTTCTGATGTCACGGAAACCCTCTGTTAGCAGTTCTCAACCTCCCTGATATTGTCAAGTGCAGTCTCATCACGGCCCTGCCGGCCCAGGACCCCGAGGCAGTGGGCCTCACAACAACGTCAGGAGAGTCACTGGGCAGCCTGGTGCCTTAGGTGCTCTTCCTAAGAACTTGGGTCAAGTATTTTCATTTATTCAACAAATATTTCAATAAAGTTCCCTCCATTCTCTCTCTCCATAGGGAGAGAGAACGCTATTATCTCCGTTCCCTTTCTAAATGTGCCAAGTGGGGATTCACTTTGGCAAAAACAAAGCTACTTGTTTGTAACATTTAGCTCATATCTTACATTTTGGCAAAATAGGTATTTTTGCACCATAATGTGAAAGGATAAATACATTTTGATTCTTCTTCTTTTTTTTAATTCGTTTGATATTAACTCTTTGCCCTAGAGCCTTTATTGTAAGGATACAAAGCTGGGAACCGGGAATGTGAATTTCCCTTTTCTAGGAAGATGGCGAGAACATTCTGTTCTAGACCAAGGCTGTCTCCTCCTTTCCTAGGAGGATGGCTAACTGTCTGGGGTGTCCAGTGTCCTCAGGCCTGTTTGTGGAACCTTGTGACCCCATGACAACTCTGTTTCTCAGCTCATCCTCCCTGCTACAGAGCCCTGTTTACTCCTAGCCTCAGATTCATGATTCTTGGAACACATCAAGAATTATAATTTCTTGCCCATTTCAAAGGGAAGGAAGTCTCTCCTTAGACAGGAGTGCTCTCAAAGGGAGGGAACTCTGTTATAGGCTAGGATGGCCACCAGGATCCACAGGGTGAGTGGGTCTTCCCTTATGACATTTCCAGTGGGTGACTGTCACCCTGGGAGGGTCCTGTGGGCATCAGAGATGCAGCCAATGCACCCCCCACTGTGGCATCTGGGCACGGCAGGGGTAGGTCTGTGGTCAGGGAACAGTTCATCAGGGGCAGGTACCTCCCTCACCTGCAAGTGCATACCCTTGGCTTTGGCACTTCCACTTGAGGTCCTTGAGGGACTATAGCAGAGCCTGGGAAATGCCTTTTTCTCCTTGTAAGACCTTTATACCTTGAACTTGTTTTGTTCACCTGGGTGCTTCCGCACACATTGACTTTACTTGAATGAAAAATGGTGCCACAAATCATCTTTTCTCTTTGACCTCTATGATCATTTCCATATATAATTCAAAAGCACCCTAAGAATAGTAACATTATTAGCAAGATTTCCATGAGACCAACAGAATTACATGACACTGTTGGACCAGTGTTAATGTTCTGGTTTTGATGGTTACAGAGAGCTTACTAGGAGATTGTCCTAAAACCTAGGCAATCTACACTAAGTGATGAAATATTATTTGTCCTGGGGCATCTAAGAACTTACTCTTTTTTTTTTTTAAATTTTTTAATGTTTTATTTATTTCTAGGAGAGAGAGAGACAGCGTGAGCAGGGGAGGGTCAGAGAGAGAGGGAGTCACAGACTGAAACAGGCTCCAGGCTCTGAGCTGGCAGTCAGCACAGAGCCCGACGCAGGGCTCGAACCCACGAACTGCGAGATCATGACCTAAGCGAAAGTCGGACGCTTAACCGACTAAGCCACCCAGGCGCCCCCTAAGAACTTACTCTTAAATGGTTCAGAAATGTTAACAAATTGAGGAATCAGGGCGATGGACATATGGAAGCTGTAATTTTTGATTTGTGCCTTATATGTAAATTGGAACTTATTTCAAAATTTTAAAATATTTTTTAAAAAGGATATTAACGTCTGTTTCAAGGAACTTTCTGCCATTGTCAGATCCTAATTCTTGTTGCCATTTATAGATCAAAGAACAGCCACAAGAATATTGAAGAACAGAACCTGATTGAGAACGACTTTCAAAATCTGAGACTGAGGCAGACTACAGGCTTCAGCAATCTAGGAGCAGATGGGAGCATCTTCCCTAAAATCAGGACAAACGTCTCGGGTCAGCTACACAATCCCTATGCAAACCAGAGAAGTATGCCCCGCCCCGACTACTAGGTGAGTCAGCATGCTTTTGAGTAAGATGCCCAGGACAGAGCAGGGACTGGGCTATTGTATCTTCAAGTGCTGGGTTCCTTGCAGTCTTTTCTGGGTTTATTTTCTAATCAAAAGAGAAAGACTAGAGGATGTTTCCTCCTATTGTTGAACAGCCACCACTTGGTCCCTAACACTGACCATCTATGTGACTTTAGATGCATCACTTAATTTCCCTGGCCTTCTCTTTCCTCAGCTATAAAAAGAAAAACAATTTAGATGCCATCAAGGTCCCTTTAAATTACAAACTTCTACAGATATAACTCCAGTCTTTGTGATGACAATTCCTAGGCTGTTTAATTACCTAGGACTGAGTCAGGCCTGGGAAGAAGTGTTGGATGTAAACATACTTCTGTGGATTCCTTCCAGCCTGCCCGTATAAAGGCAAAGAAATCTCTCCTTTCCTCTCCCCAGACCTCTAGGCATAACCCAATCAATTTCTAGAGAGATAAGGCAGTTAGGCTGATGGTGTTTTATTTCCCTTGGGAGGATTTTCAAGGAGCATAACTTGTATTCATTAGATTTGTATTGGATAATTGTGCTGGCATTATTTCATGTGATCTGAATGAAACTGTAAGAGGCGACTTTTATGGGGAAAGAGGACTATGGGCCTGAGCTGGAAGGAAGGAAGGAAGGAAGGAAGGAAGGAAGGAAGGGAGGGAGGGAGGGAGGGAGGAAGGAAGGAAGTGAAGAGGCAAAGGGGGCCAGAGGAGAGAGAGGTAAAGGAAGACCAGCAAGGAGAGAAATGAATTCTTAAAAGAAGGAAGACTAGGGGAGGAAGGGAAAGGGGGAGCGGCGGGAGTGAGGCCCACCTAGAAGAGTAGATTATAAAGAGGATGAAGGAAGCCCTCCTGGCTTGGGAAGATGGCAGAGGGTGCTGAGGAAGGGGGGCATAGGCTCCACATTCTCTGTGCACATTACACTTCTTCTACAGACTGCCCAGGCAAACACACCACCCTCCGAGGATCTTAATGCCCTGGAAACATTCTGGGAAAACTTGGCTTATCTCTATTTTGAAATCCCATGATTTATTTTGCACATAAAGTTTTCTTTAGCCATGGAAGTCTAAATGGTAAATGTGTGCACAAGGGGTTGACTTGCACAAGAAGGTGCCATGTTGGGTCAGACACATGGCCTAGTCAGCAGTAGTCAAGAACGGGTGTCCCCTTATGAGAGTGTCTGCTGCCCCCCTCCCCAAGGTGAACCCTAACCAGCAAACTCAGTAAAACCTCCTTTATTCCTTATGCAGGGAGCCTTTACTTTAAGCATAATCTCTGAAGAGAATCCTTTAGAGGTAGAATAAGCATGGGATTTAGAGTCAGACCTGAGTTTGAAACCTTGCATCTTCTGTTACTAGTACTAGCTGTGTGATCTTTGACAAGTTATTTGACTTCTCTGGGTTTGTTTTCTCATCTATGAAATGGACAAAATAAAGCCTATCTTATAGGATAAAAAATAAAATAAGCTAATATGTGTAAGAACCTAGCACAGTGACTATTCTAATTTAAATAATAGGATTCAAGTAATGTAATGTTAATAATTTATTAATCTAAATTTTCTCATATGTTGCTGTTGTAAAGTTCCTTTCTAAAAGTTGCCCTCCCCCCTCTCTCTTTCTCTCTTTTTGTCTAGAATGGCAAAAACTGGGGACCGTCCATGGCCCTCAACCCAACGTACGAGTCTTTACTTTGAGTGTCTTAAAGACTAATGGACAAGTGAGCGCCCATGAAGATCTGGCCTTTGGTGTTTCTCTGACACCCAGCACCTAGCCTCTCTCAGTGGAAGTTGTGACTATTCGCAGTGAATGCGGCTGGTTTGCTAAGTACTATGAAATTAAATGCACATAGATGCGATTTGCACTTGTAAGGCAGTTGATTTTGTCCAGTCAGTACAACGGTTAGGTTTTTTGGTTTTTTTTTTTTTTTTTTTTTGTCTTTCCTGACAACAATAACCATTTCCAACCTAGAGGAAAGCTCCTCAGGATTGTTTGCTCCTGGGAGAATGTTACTTTGAGTTGAGAGCCTACAGATAAGTGACCTAATTCTGAGAGACTCTTACACATCAGCTATGGGGACGGTGGGGGGGGGGGGGAGGGGAGAGAAGAAATACCATCTACCATCTTTCAAGTTTCTCGGGTTTATTCTCTCACAAGTTAAAATAGGATGCTACTTCTAGCCCCCAAATCCAAGGATTTTATCACCTTTGACCTAACAGGAGCTTGTGACCTGGCCTCACACCAAGAAGACAGAAGAAAAGACCTGTCTCAGCTTTTTGCAGGAGAAGTGACTGGGAATCCAGGATCTTTTTGATGTTAATTAGAAGGTACAGACTAGAAATATCCACCATGGAGTACCTTCGAAAGTTTTTGAAATGCCGGCAGCGGGTAGAGGCAGGGAGAAAGAGAAATGTAACCAAGAGTGGAGGGGACGGAGGCACAGGAGGCTGGGCCCGGAGGAGGAGTATGAAGGCAGGCACGACGGCCACCTTCGTCCTCAGATCCCCTCCTCAATGAGCGACCAGACATTTCCTCCCCCTCACGTCCTGCCCCGACTCAGAGCCTAAGTACAAGTGTGGAGACGAAACCCCAGGAGCAAGAGCGGGAAGTCACTTCAAAACTGCAGATATTCTGTTTGGCTGCTGGGGAAAGAGAGAGCTTGCGACCCGACGCAGGTGTCCAGCCTTGTAATGCAGAGTCCAAAGGTGCTTCGTGGCGTCCTCGGCCTTCCCTGGGGACAGGCTTAGCAGTAGCCACCAGCCCACATAGAGCCATGCCCAGCACAGGCTTTCTTTACTGTTAATAGTGTCCTTGTTTATGTCTGATATCTGGTCCCCTTGCAAGTTATTTTTATTTGTTGTTATTATTATTTGTTCTTGACTATTAACTGTAAAAGTAATTAATAAAGTGTCTTTGGTAGGTGGTGTCCTTCCTTATCTATGGGGCGTTTGGGGATGCACACGACAGTGAGTCTCACTTTCAATAGCAAATGTGACACATGGCAAATAAGATTGATATCTGCTGTCCTTGTTAGGGGCTGTTAGACCCTCAGGGTAATTTTTAAATCACGCAGTAGACATTTTCAGCTGCTTCCCTGTGCACATCCTAACTTGTCTCCAGCCAAGCATTTTGGATGGGACTGATCTGACCCCAGCCCCAAGGGCGGGTCTAGGTTGGCCCAAGCCCATGAGTGGAACCCCATCCCCCTTGCCAGTGATTGATTTAGTGAACACACGGCGTAAGAGGATGCAATTAGAATAAAACCCCCAGTTTGGGTAGGAAACTTGGAGGAAGAGAAATTCTTTGTTCTCTCAAGGAGGGCTTAACGCCATGAGGCCTCGGACTGCTTCAGTTTTGCTGAGCTGACATGTAGAGGGGGGCAGAGCTGAGAGAACCGTGGAAGAATGGAGCTGGAGCTCTGATCTGACCATGCCTGAAGCTTCTGGACTTTACTGTCAGTCCACTGTGAATAGTACTTTCCGTTTTTGAAGTTGAAAGCATCCTCACTGATATCACTTGTGTTCTCAAGACTGGGGGGTGAACAGGATAAAAGAAACACTCTTATGAGCTGTTAATACTTATAAAGATATCAGCCATCAGGTCACCGCAGAAGACTTGGTGTTTACATAGATGTAAGTTAAAATGGGCTGACCTTGTAACTTGTGTCACAATCTGCATGTTACTTCCTTTACCCTTGAAGATGATTCTGGACTCAGTGCCAGAAGTAGGCTATTTGAGCATCTTTTCTAAATAGACCCACCTTCCTTGTGCCCCCATCACAGCATGCCAGTCTTCATCACTTCTAGAACATCCTGGGCCATACAAACTCTGGGCTTCATGGACTAGAGTATCATTCATTTTTCAGAGATTTTCATTGCTTTTGTTTAAATAAAAGGTTGCTCTAAATATGTATATGTGTAATGTTTAGGAAAATGGCTTCCACATACGAAGTTGCTTTTGATTCTCACATTCTCACATTCTCAAATGACCTACAATTCATTTGTTTCTGCTCACTGGGAATTTGGCAAGGGTTTCCCAAACTGATTGTCCTGAAATCCTGGAGGGCCATCAGAATGAACATTCTAAGATGCAAATCAGATACAATGCCCCCGGGGGCTTCAGGCTTTCGGGGGTTCTCCACTGAGAGAAAGAAGCTCCCAGAATGGAGGCAGGCTCTTGCGTCTCATCACACCACCAACTGCTTCAGCTTTGCCTCATGCTCCCCCCTTCCCCCCAGGGCACTAGCTCTCGGACACAGCTGTACCTACGCAAACACACCTCTTCATACCTCCATTCCTCCGCTCATGCTGTTCCCTGCACTTGGAAAGCCCCTTTCCTTCAACTGCTAATAATCACCTCCATCTGTCTTCATCGGCTAAACCATCATGACCAGCTGCTCCGAATTCTCTCCTTCCCCCAACAGGCTCTCAGGTAGAGAGATGCCTCCCCCACACCCGAGCTACGCCCCAAAGCCAGCTCCCCCAGGATAGAGGTGGTGCATGGTGAGTCTGTGTTTCCTTCTCCCCAGCACGATCCCCAGCCTGGCATGGGATATTAAATGCTTGTAGAACAGCAGTGTAAAACAGACTCTCCTAGCTCAGTCCTGAAGAGTATGTTCATTATGAGGGGGTGGTTCATTGTGGTGGTGGTTTCATGGCTATATCAAAACTTGTCCAATTGTACACTTAACATACTTACAGTTGATTCTGTGTCAGTTATGCCTCAACAAAGTTATTTTTGTAAGTGGGGGGGGCAGACTCTCACACGGGGGCCTCTCTGACCTTGAGGGAGGCGTTCTCTGATCACAGCCCTAAGACAGGGCAGGAACATGTACCTGTTATTCTGCTGATCTTAACACCAACTGAAGGTTCTGGGGTCAGCACTGGGGGAAACCAGCTGGAGATGGGATACTGCCCTACCAACAGCAGGTCTCAGCTGTTTGCTGGAGTCACCTGAGGAGATTTAAAACTCACTGATGCCTGGGGCCCATCCCAGAGCACTTCACTGGTCTAGGGCAGACTGAGCATCGGGATTGTTCAAGGCCCGAATGTGCAGCAGATTTTGAGAACCACTGTTGTTTTTTTTTAATTTTTAAGAATGTTATATTTATTTCTGAGAGAAAGAGAGAGACAGCACGAGCAGGGGAGGGTCAGAGAGAGAGGGAGACACAGAATCTTAAACAGGCTCTAGGCTCTGAGCTGGCTGTCAGCATGGAGCCCAACGTGGGGCTCAAGCCCACGAACTGTGAGATCATGACCTGAGCCAAAGTCAGACGTTTAACTGACTGAGCCCCCCAGGCGCCCCTGAGAACCACTGTTTTAGATCAGGGAGTGGTTTGGTTCCTCACAGCCAGAACCCAGATCACACCATTTCCCATTCCTTCCCCTGAGAGTCCGTTGTGCACAAGAAGCAACCTCCAGTTGCCATCAACACTAAAATATCTTGAGATTTAAATCTCTGGGGGCACTTTTGCTCCTGAACCCAAATCCCCTCAACCCTTCCTAGCAGCTCCGCAAATTTCATGGCCAGTAGGTGGCGCTGTATCCTCTGACTTGCAGAAAACCCCAACTCTGGAGGGACAGTGCTTTCAAAACGCTCTTTTGAAATTAAGTTTGGATGCACTAATTCTAAGTAATTTCCCCTTGACATTTTCTTGGTCTCTTCAGTCCTCATTCTTGTGCCAGGGAAACATGAATATGACTCTTGTAAGCTCACTCTTGTAATATTTGCATCACTTTTACTGGGTCATTAAAGATCATACAAGGTTCCTTTTACTGGCTCTGAGCTATCTGAGTATTGAAGTTATGTTAATATCATATTGTGGTGCATAAAATTTGGTACAAATATTCAGATAATCAATGCTTTATTTCGTGGTGATTTTCCAAAATAAAAAAAGGAAATCCATTTTTACTGAAAAATTCTTCAGTTAAGATAAAAAAGTAAAATGCCACAAGTAGGAAGTCTCTTTCATCAGCTTTCATGAAGTGAGCAGGTCTGGCTGGGTTTTTTTTAGGGAATGGGGTTGAAGAAAGGCCTGGGGCACAACATAGGGGTCTTCCCCTCAACCTCCAGGCTATCAAATGTGGGTTCTTTTACTCAAAAAAGCTTGGCAAAAATCATCAAAGGGTTAATAATTCCTGCGGACCTGGTTTTCTGAGCCCACAGTCAAGATATATGGTCCAATAGAAGAATTTTCTTCTGCCTCCATGTGAGAGAAGGAAAACATTCTGCAAAGTTCAGTTCTGGAAAGTTTGGACTAGGTATCGAAGGATGAGTCAGAGTGGACTAGTCAGAAAAGATCAGGGATAAGGCCTTCTGCGAAGGAGAAACACCAACATGCAAAGGTGAGAGTGTGTTTATGAGGCCGAAATGCCAGGTCGCGGTCAAAAGGCCTTGCATGTTACATAATCATTGGATTCCTAGTCTTTCAGTTACACCAAGTATGTACCCTGTCTTCTTTTTCTAAACAGCAAACTAAACAACTATAATTAGTAAGGCATTTACTACATTTTCTGTTGTAGATAACTTGCATGGCCTCTGTAGTCTCTTTGGAAGGCGGGAGCCCAGCTTGCTTGCAAGTTAAGGCTTGTGAGCATCCTGCCTCGGGTCTGACTTGGCTCTGTCCTTCCATGCCACTCGGAAAACAGTGACTTGGGTGACCTAGTCTAAGGCCTCCCCCGCCCCCCCCCCCACTCCCCCAGCTAATTACATTTTGGCCTGTTGCTCTGCGGGTGAGAGGCCCTGTGTTTGCTGTCGCTGAAGATTTAATTGTGGTTGGGGACAAATGACAGCTATACACATGGCCTGCTGTAATCCGGGAGGGGCCACCTGTTTAACATGTCTCAGACTTCTAGGTCAAAGCTATTGCCCTTAGAAGTCATTCAGGATCTCCCAAATGGAGGAATTATTCAATTAATAATTATTGAATTCCTACCAGGAATTTTCAGATGTATTTACTCATTTAAACTGCACACAAATATTTTATAAGATAATCACAAGACCACCCATTGCACTTTAGAAACTATTAAGGTATTACTGTATATTTCTTTAAAACACACTCAAATTATGTTAAGACTATGTCGCAGTCACACTGCAGATCAGAAATTCCAACGAGGCAGCTGTGATGCAGTAGAAAGAAGAGTGGTCTCTGGAGTCAGGAGATCTGGCTCCCTCACTTATTATCACTTCTCTAAGCCCCAGTGTCCAAATGGGGAGAATAAGGCTTGTTTTACACTGATGATTTGTGTGAACTACACATCCCTGGCTGGGCACCGTCCTTTGGCCTTTCTAAGTGTGGTGACTTTTTGAACTGTGTTTGTCTTTGTGAGGAAGCTGGAAACCCATGGAACTAGTTCAAAATAGAATGGCTTGATGCCAGCACGTCTCCAGCACCTGTGCAACGAGGCTCTTATCTCCTTGTACCTGAGCCGACTGCTATGCAGGCTAACACCAGAGCTCCGTGTGATGAGCTGTTGATGCTGCCAGGCTGGTCAGTTAGGATTATTTGCCACATTTTCTGACTAAAGACCAGTGTGGCCCCTGGAAGGCCTGTGATCTGAACGTGTAGTTGAATCCACGAGGCACCTCAGGGCAGCACTGCAGGCATCATGTTTTATTTCATGATCTCTCAAATGTTAGAGCAGACGGTGACCTATCTCTACTGAAGCCGGGGAAGAGGCAACTGTCAAAGAAGGAGCTTGGGTTACACGGAATGAAGAATTTGCTGTGATTAATGATTAAACAATCAGAGTGTCTTAGCTAGGGGGCTTATGGAAGATCCTGGGACATCATTTAAAGAGGTGCATCAGGGGCGCCTGGGTGGCTCAGTCAGTTAAGCGTCTGACTTCGGCACAGGGCATGATTTCACAGTTCGTGGGTTCGAGCCCCACATCCAGCTCTCTGCTGTTGACGTGAATTCT